AATTCATAGTCAGTTATGTTTATTGGTTTTACTATGGGAACATCAGGCATCATAAAATAATATTAAAGATATTTAGAAAATAATTTAATATTATTTATTGTATGAAAGCATTGCTATGATATGAATGGTGTCCATCGTAGTAGAACAGGCTCTTTCATCAACTTCAATCAATAAGCATTGAAGATAATTAGTTTTGTGTCTTGCTCGCGTGTGCAATGAAAACCCCAAGTGCTGTGCCCCACCAATATTTTATTATGCATGAAATAATAAGATCAATTAGAATAATTTATCTTATTATTTATATGGATAGAAGTTATTCACATTATATTGATATAATAGATGAAGTAGAGAACATAGAACAAGTAATAATAACTGACAACAGATGTAAGAAAGTATGCTTTTATACATTTTAATTAATAAAATTAGGAATACAATATATCAAAAATAAAAATGTAAATATTAATATAACAAAAAAACAAAAGAAAAACAAAAAGAATAAAACAGATACTACTGTTTCTTCAACAGATGAAGACAAAGAAGAAATTGTTAAAGAAACAGCACTAACCGAGTTTGAGTGTCCTATGTGTAAAAAGATGTTAGAATTAAAAAACGAACTGGAAATACAAAGGAAGGGAAATTGCAAATGTTCTTGTGTGCCATTAGGGTTTAAAATAACTAAAAATGATAAGAAAATGAATATTGATAAAACTAAGGACAGTATCAATCTGGAAACAGATGCACATAATATTTCTATCAAATTTGGAAATGAGGCAACAATGTCAGATAATGGTGACAACGAAACGCAGGAAACTATTAAGCAAATGATGAAAATTTAGTACTTAAAGAGTAGATTTTACATTAAATCAATTTTATAAATAAATATTTAAATAAATAATTATAAATAAATATATATATAGAAATGTCTGAAGTTGAGAATGATGCTATTGCTGAACTATCAAGGAAGATAATGACAGTTAGTAAAAATGTTAAACTGTTGTACGAGATGATAAAAACTATTGACCAGAAACTTGATGCAAAGGCATACGAACCAAAAAATAGCAATGAAGAGAAGGAAAAGATTGACAAAATCTTTGAAAAGATACAAATAGGAAGGCCGTCTGGCAGTTTTCAAGATAAGCAACCGCAATATATGGATATGTTAAACAAGAACAAAATTAAATCTCCAAAAACAGAAACTATTGAATTTTATGAACTGTTTAAGAACGAAGAAGGACAATACGAATTAATGTAATAAATATCTAAATAATTCTAATAATATGAATTTATTAGAATTATTTTCAGGCACAGGTTCAGTTGGAACGATTGCAAAGTCATTAGGTTTTAATGTAATATCATCGGATTTTAAAGAGTGGATTTAACATAATTTAAACATTTAGTTTTAAAAGTCTATTTTTATAATATAGTATATATGGAAGGAAAGGTTGAAAAAATGCTAATAGAGCTGGTTGAAGATGTCTCTGACAGTTTGACTTTAATAGCGCGGAATTTAGACAGAATAGCAAACAACATGGAAAGCAAACCAACTTTCAACAGCAACAATAATAATTATCAGTCAAAAGATGTTGATAGAGACAGTAGCGAATACAAAAACAAGAGACGTATTTATATTACTAAAATTAATAATAAATCAATAAAAGAACCTAAACCAAGTAGTATAGAATACTACCAAATCAAGTATAACGAAGAAAAGAAACTTTATGAATAATTAAAATCTAAATATTTCTAAAAATATGAATTTATTAGAATTATTTTCAGGTAGTGGTTCTGTTGGAACGACTGCCATCAAAAACTAAAGCAGAATGTGGGGATAATTATGTAATACATAAGCAGGAAGATTTATACAAAATACCTGCTGAATTGATTTGTGAGATTTTGACGAGTTTGGTGGATTAAAGAAACGAGTTTGGGACGGGGCATCCCCAAAAGCTGGGATGGGGCATCCCCAAACAATGAAATTTTGGGATGGGGCATCCCCAAACAATGAAATTTTGGGATGGGGCATCCCCAAACAATGAAATTTTGGGATGGGCATCCCCAAACAATGAAATTTTGGGATGGGGCATCCCCAAAAGCTGGGATGGGGCATCCCCAAAAGCTGGGATGAATGAAAAATGACAAGTTGATATTTATTTAACCCATAAACCTTACAATAAAAAAACACATTGTAAGATTTATGTTTTGAAATTATGGGATTTATATTTTGGGAATTTGGGAATTTAGTTTCAAGGAATATTGATTATAGGAATTTCTTAAAATGTATTTAAAGGTTTAAGGACATTGTATTATAAGAACTATGGAAGGAAACATGTGTGTTTTAATTAAAGGTAAAAAATATGAAGGAATTTTGGAAAACGGTTCATTCAAAACTGATAATGAAAAATTATGTAGAAACTGTGGTAGAATGAAACTATTTGACGAATTTAATAAAGATAATAAACAATGCAAGCAATGTTCAGAAAACAACAGAAATAACCGAATTAAACATAAAGATAGATACAATGAGGAGCAAAGAAAAAGATATGAAGAAGATGATGAATATAGAAATAAAACACTTGAAAGTAATAGAAAATGGAACAGTATAAAAATTCAGTGTGATATTTGTGACTGTTATTTTTCTCCATGTTTAAAAAAGCAACATCTTAAAACAAATAAGCATAAAATAAATTTAGAAATGAAACAGGCAGAAGAAAATTAACATTATTTTTATTAATAAATATTTTACATAAAATTGTATAAGGTTAATATGTAGAATAACTTCTTAACCTTATATAATATTTCAATGAAGAAAACATATTTTCAAGGAATTAGATAAGGTTAATGAATATGAATAATGTATTAACCTTATTTAATATTTGAATTATAAACCTATATTTTTGATTTTGGTAAGTTGTTATGAAATATATTTTACTTCTTTCAACATCTGTATTGGTATTTTTTGGGGGATGGGTGGTTTTTGTTGAGCCATTTTTTTCGGGGGATGAGGTTTTCCGCCCTTTTCTTTTGGGGGACATGGGCTTTGCCCATCCCATGTGGTGAGGGATGGGTTTTTCCATGCAGTTTGTGAGGGTTGGGTTTTCAGCCCATTCTTTTGGGGGATGGGTTTTTCGATCCATTATTTTGGGGGAGGGTTTTTGTTCAATCCATTCTTGTGGGGGATGGGGTTTTCCGTCGTTCTGCTTTTTTTGGGGGGAGTAGCCAAAGGTGTAAGTGTGTGGGTGGGGCACTAACCACGAAATCGCCTGCATTCAAACCGTTCTAGAAGACGGGTGGCCCCAAAGCATTTTCCATGACGCGCAGCCTGAATCGGTTCATTTTTACAACTATGCATTTCACTGTCTACTTGGTGCATGCCTCTATGCGCTTCACTCTGTGCTTGCCCTCGCATGTGCCTTATGCATGCCTCTATGCAGTTCACTGTCTACTTTCCCTGCGCATGCATGTAGGCACTTCACTCTGCGCTTGCCCTCTGCATGCCTCTATGCATTGCACTGTCTACTTTCCCTGCGCATGCCTCTATGCATTTCCGTGTCTACTTTCCCTGTGCATGCCTCTATTCATTTCATTGTCTACTTTCCCTGTGCATGCATCTATGCACTTCACTCTGTACTTGCGCTATGCATTTCACTGTCTACCTTCCCTGTGCATGCCTCTATGCATTTCACTGTGCGCTCTTCCCATGCATGCCTCTATGATGCCTTTATGCATTTCACGGTCTATTCTGTGCGTGCCTCTATGCATTTCACTGTCTACTTTCCCTGCGCATGCATCTACGCACTTCAGTCTGTACTTGCCCCACGCATGCCTCTATGCATTTCATTGTCTACTTTTCCTGCAGATGCCTCTTTGCATTTCCGTGTCTGCTTTCCCTGTGCATTCCTCTATGCAGTTCACTGTCTACTTTTCCTGTGCATGCCTCTATGCAGTTCACTGTCTACTTTCCTTGTGCATGCCTCTACGCATCACACTGTCTACTTTCCCTGCGCATGCCTCTATGCATTGCACTGTCTACTTTCCCTCTGCATGCCTGTATGCATTTCACTCTCTACCTTCACTCTGAACTTGCGCTATGCATGCCTTTATGCATTTTACTGATTTTACTGTGCACTTTCTCTATGCATGCCTCTATGCATTTCACTGTCTACTTTCCGAGCTTGCAGCCGGAGCTGCGGGGACGTACTACTTTTGTACTTATAATAGTTACGACTTTGCAGCCGGAGCTGCGGGCACGTACTTTGCGTACTACTTTTGTACTTAAAAGTTGCGACCTTGCAAACCGCAATTCGCACGGGACCATAGGCACCTCGACCACTCCGATCCCCGCAGAGGGTCGTGCGGGCATGTTGAAAATTGCAAAAACCATCAGTTGTTGCACCTCGACCGTGCCGGTCCCCGCAGAGGGTTGTGCGCATCACTCAAGAATCGCCAAAAACCCAATCGACCACGCCGATCCCCACCGCAGAGGGACGCGCCCGCATGTTGGAAATCGTAACAACCATCAGTTTTTGCACATCGACCGCGCTTGGTCCCACTGCGCCACCCTGAGATACTAATTTTAAGAAACCGTGCAAGTTTCCTCGTGCCAGTTATGCTCACGCGAGAAGGAACGCAAGATCGCTACGCATTTCACTGTGTTCTTTCCCTATGCATGCCTCTATGCATTTCACTGTTTTACTTTCCTGTGCATGCCTCTATGCATTTCATTGTCTACTTTCCCTGTGCATGCCTCTATGCATTTCGTTGTCTACTTTCGCTGTGCATGTCTCTATGCACATGTTTCTATGTATGTCACTGTCTACTTTCCCGACACAGTTGACCTATGCATTTCACTGTGCAGAACCCAACGACTTTACCGGAAGAACCCTTCGCAACGCTTTCGGGAAAAACATGGGTGAACTGCCACAATGTTGCCGCCATGGGTGAAACCCCATGGTGCAACTCCACGCCATTCCTCACGTGATTCCGCCGCGACGGTCGCTTAG